TATATATATGTCGGTTGTTATTTAAAAAAAAAAACGAATATATCAAGCCGACTAAAATATTTATGACTTGATATCTATTTAACAATAAAGACTGCAAGTTTAATTCTCATCATTCCTTAAGCTTTTTGTTTGGATTTGAGAATAAAAAAGGGAGAGTGAAAAAAGAGGAATTTGAAAGGAAAGTGAGGTTGTTTAAATTAAGGAAAAATAAGTGCAAAGTGTAGAAAAGTTTGTGAAAAAATTGATTGATATGATAGATAAAAATAAATTTTTTAATTAATGATTTTATAAGATTATTATTTTGCTCTTAGGTTAAAAAAAATTATAATTATTATAATTAAAAGGTAAATATAAAAATTTTAACTAAAAAAATAAATATAAAATATTAATTTAAAAATAATTTAATTTAAATATTTGCTTTAAATTTAATGATAGATAAAAATTAAAAATTTAATAGATGAATATGTAATTTACACTTTTACTCTTGGATTAAAAATGAGTATAATATTATTTATTGTAAATAATAATAATTACAATAAAATTATATTAATAGGTATAATTTATTAAAAAAATAATAAATAATGATAAGAATAATAATAAATATTAGAAAAATAATAAGAATCATAATAAATAATAATGATACTAATTATAATAAATAATAATAATATTAATAATAATGATAATAATAATAATATTTATAATAATAAATAATAATAACAAAATATATTATGATAATTATATTTTCTAACATTATTTTATTAATGTTTATGAAAGTGTTATTATTTTAATTTTATAAACATGTATTACTTTATTTTTTTTATATTTCCACTTTTTGATGTCAATATTTAAATAGTAGAATTTTCTTAATATAAAAAAAATGTACAATAAATTTTTTGAAAGTTAATTAATAAATTAAAAAAATTGATAAATCATTGACATAAATTAGAATGAAATGAAGATACATTTGTTAATTGTATAAGTTAATTTTTACCAATTAAAAAATTAAGAAATTTTTCACATTACAAATTTGAGATTGCATTTTATGCCAATTTGGAACGGCCTGTTCTCAAATAGGATTTTTAAGCCAATTTACTAGTTTGGAACGGCCCGTTCCAGTTTCGGAACGACCTGTTCCAGTTTCGGAACGACCCGTTCCAGTTTGGGAATGACCCGTTCCAGTTTAGGAACGGCCCGTATTCTAGGCTACTCAATTACCCTTGTTTTAGTTATTTGGAACGGCCCGTTCTGGGCACGCCTGGAAGCGAAAATATGCCACATAATCGATTATGTATGGCACATAATCGATTATGTGCCATGCATAATCGATTATGCTGACCCATACTCGATTATGTGCCACCATAATTGATTATGTATGGGCTGCCATAATCGATTATGCCCAGCTTAATCGATTATGTGGCATGCATAATCGATTATGCTTCATTCCTACCCTCCCTCATGCATAAAGAAAAATGAAGTTTACCTATAATGGCACAGTCTCTGCATGCATGAGGGAGGAGTATTATCGTATTTTCTTAAATCTTACGTGGCTTTCATCTCTTTTCTTCGCTTTTGCGCGAGGATGGCAAAGCAGTTTCTCCCGCTTTTCTTCGCCTTTCTTTCCTCGCAAATCAGCATAAACAAACACGCACTTTCTTCGCCTTTTGTTCGTCATGAACAGTAAATCAGCAAAAACAAACACTACCTTAATATGTCATCTACCTCAAAACATTTAGACATTCCCTAATATTATATATATAATTTAAAAAATGAGAAGACTAAATAAAATTTTAAATAAAAATAAAAATAATTAAAATTTAATTATAAATATATTTTCTATAAAATAATGATTATAAATATATTTAATTTCTATAAAATAATTATCATTTTTTATAATTATTATGTTAATATTATAACATCGTCACTATTTATTATTGATAAAAAAATATATATTGAATCATCGATAAATAAAATGTTGAATGTATAATGTTTTCATGACACGCCTCATGTTAATAATCTCTTTTATCATGTTAAATCATTTTTTTATCGATAAAAAAACCACATAATGACTAATTTTTTAAAGTAATATTATTTTTAATTTATTTTTTCATAAATTCTTCGACTACATTAAAAAGGTAAGATTAGTTAGTAAAATTATATTGACAAGTGATAGTAAAACTTTCAAAACTTTAGTCATTTTTATAAGAAAAATATTAAATAGTACATTACATTAATTTATTTTTCCTTCCTCCTATCATCAACTTGCACGCCACAATTAAGTGTACGAATGGATGTACGTTTATCATAGCTCGCAAGATACACGGTAATCGTAGATGAATAGTGAAGAGTAAGCAATAGAAAGGTAACAAATGAGAATCGTTGAAACGACAAAGCAAACCTGACTACTCCGCACAAAACTTTTTCCCCACCTTCTCACTCCATACATATGGACTAGATTCTCTCTTTTCCCCTAGCCAAACCAAATCCACAAACTTGTTTCCCTCCATTCCTTGATATTAGAAGAGGGTCATTACTCATTACTCATTACTCATTACTCATTACTCATTATTCATTACCAACAACAATAATCAATGTTTTCCCCCTAGCCTTGCCTCTCTCATCATTCCCACTATTCTTCACTTCTCTTCTCCCATGTGAACAAACTCACTTCTATTTCCAACAAACACATCAATATTCTTCCCCCAAAATGAGCCAGTGTGTTCCAAGCTGGGATGTCGACGACAACCCACCACCCCCAAGACTCTCTCTTCGCTCCAACTCCAATTCCACTGCCCCTGATGTTCCCATGTTAGCTCTCTCTTCTCTTCTACACAAATCATGCATCACCATGTCATCACGTCAATCTCTATATATATATTTTTTTCTTCTCGATTCAGAGTCGTAATACTGTGATTGTCTATAAATTTTTTTATTAGATCAGAGACTAATCTTACTGGTAATATTGTGACTGTCTATGAGTGTATTTTTAGACACAACGTGATTTTATGCTCATTCCATCTCTATATATAATACAATTTTAAGTATGGGAAAGAGTATGAGTGTATTTTTAGACACAACGTGATTTTATGCTCATTCCATCTCTATATATAATACAATTTTAAGTATTGGAAAGAGTTAATATAATAGAGATTGGCGTGGTCCTATATATATATATAAATATGTATATAGTCAGATGAATGATATAACAATTTGTCGTACTTTTCCGAGGTGTTATTTTGTGATGATAACGTTAATGAGTGGTTTGGTTTGTGTGACTTGGTGAGTTCAGGTTAGACTACGAAGTTGCGGAACTGACATGGGAAAATGGACAACTTTCTATGCATGGGTTAGGGCTACCGCGTGTGCCTGTAAAACCCCCAACAAGCGCCGCGAATAAGTACACGTGGGAGAAGCCTCGCGCGAGTGGCACCTTGGAGTCCATAGTGAACCAAGCCACGAGCCTGCCGCAGCGCGGGAAGCCGTCGCTGAACGGTGACGGCGTCGGCGTCTGCGGGGGCTTCGTGGTGCCGTGGTTCGACCCCCACGCGCACGGCGGCGGAGGCGGCGCCACCGCGAACACGGTGGGGATGGACGCACTGGTGCCGTGCTCGAAGCGGGAGGCGCGGAAGCAGGGCGTGGAGTCGGTCCCAGGCGGCACGTGCATGGTGGGGTGCTCCACACGTGTGGGGTCTTGCTGCGGTAACCAGGGGGCGAAGGGGCACGAGATGAGTGGGAGGGATCAGAGCGTGAGTGGCAGTGCCACGTTTGGGAGGGATAGCAAGCACGTGACCCTTGACACGTGCGACAGGGAGTTCGGTGTGGCTTTCACTTCCACCTCTATTAACTCTCTCGATAACACCAGCTCCGCTAAGCACTGCACCAAGACCACGACCGTTGACGACCACGATTCCGTTTCCCACAGTAAACCAGTGGTAATAACTATCCAATTTTTTTTATTACACTAATTATATACATAAATTTATTTTTCTTTCTTTCTTCTCATTTCAGACTCAACCTAAATTATTGTTCATATGGGTACATAAATTTCTATACCCACTGGTGCATACACTTCGTTCATATCCATTATTTTTATGTTTTTTGCTCAATCTCTCTCTCTGTCTTCTTTTTCATATCTTGATTTATAAAACGAAAATATCAAATTATTAAAAAAAAATTTCTATAGTGTTTCCTAACATGAGAGTATTAAAATGAAAGTGTAAAACTATTTTATAATATAAAATCAAATAATATTAGGATACTTTTAATATACACCTAATAAATCTTCCATCTCGTTTCTCACTTTAGCCTCCATATTTTAATTTTTCTTCTTTCTCTTTAGTTTTCATAATATCATTTTTTATTTGTCCTTTTCTCTCTCCATTTTTCTTTCTACTTCTCTTCCATTTTCAGCCATAAGCTCTAAAAATGAGATTCACGTTGATAATTTAAATAATTGTATATATAACACTTTCAATGTCAGTATTATCTCAATTATTTTATTTCAAGCTTCCTTTTCTTTTTTGTCTAATGAAAAGTTAAACAAATATAATTTTTATTTAATTTTATTTTTATCGGAACAATTTCTCCTTGATAATTAATGATCATAAATTCCAGTCCCTTTGCCGCGATATTAGCTCGCCATTTTGATAATCGCAAACTAACTGTAAAATTGTTATTAATTTATACATTTTTTAGTAAATGTTTAAGTTGCACAAAATTATTGTACAAATAAAATTTCTCTATTTTATAACAAAACTGATATTAGTAAATGTTTAAGTTGATCTTCTAAAGTTATACATGTTTATAACAATAACTGATATAGTTAAGCTTAAAGGTTAAACTTGAGGATTTAATTCTTCTTTCTTAATTAACTAATAAATTTTATTTTATTTTATGATATATTCTTTAAGGGTGAAGATGGGGATAAGGAGAAGAAAAAGAGAGCGAACGGAAAATCGTCGGTGTCCACTAAAAGGAGCAGGGCTGCGGCTATACACAACCAATCTGAAAGGGTGAATAAACTTTTGCAAGTTATTGCTATGATATGATGCTATTCTATAAGAACGAAATCAAGAATTTGTTGTTCATTGGTTCATTTTTGCATTGGGTTTTCAGAAAAGGAGGGATAAGATAAACCAAAGAATGAAGACATTGCAAAAGTTGGTCCCAAATTCCAGCAAGGTATATAGCATATAGTTTGCAACTAGTGGGGTGGGGTTTCTGAGCTAATCATGATTGTTTGTTTTATTATTATTGAAATCGTGATATTGTGTATGTGGTATCTGAGCCAATTATTTAGTATCTATTGGTCCCAAATCAGTGAGAGGAACAGGAACAGTTGCTATATACTGACGTAACATCTTTCTTTGCTATATATTCACTTTCGTAGACTTCAAGTAGTGGTCCCCACAGGATTCTATAGCCACTATAAGTATAATAACTTCACAATGGATCTCCCTCCGCATATTTTTGCTTTCATGTTCTTGGGTTCTTCACACAAATTATGAGATAGAATAGTTTTTTAATTTTAAGAAAAATATAGAATATTTCTCAATCTACATTTTAGTTTGAATTTGTAAGTTCTTTAGGATTTTCTCCAACGCTTAAATTATACAGTCTCATGGATGAATAAAGGTGTGAATGGGTTCCTCTCAGATTTTTTTATTTTATTTTCTATTTTACTTTGTAAAATATCTGTGTATGATGAACTATTTTTTTATTCATCATGATTTTCAATTTTGAATCTATTACTTTGACTTGTATGCATGTACTTACATTTTAATATGATATGTTATTGTTTGTTCGTTTTTGGCTTTTCTTATTTATGGATTCGTCCTTGTTGATAAGGTAGAGATACCTTTCATACCATTTATTATACTCAATCCAACTAAAAGCTTCAACATGCAAATTCATTCTACTATATCCGTCCTTCAAAATATGGTTCAAACATTAAAAGACTAATATACTAAATAAACATCTGAAAACGTCTTGCATATTTTGTGTCGACAAAATTAATTTGCATAATTAATATTTAAACATCTCAATATGTAATTCACATTAGTACATAATTATAATTCTTTTCAATGATTATCTATATGGTATTACCGTTTTAAAAGCATGAAGATTGTAATTTGTTGAAAGCCAGTGGGATATATAATTGTGCTCTTGAACTTTTTTGTAATAATATATGGCTATGAGAATTTTAGCTAGGGTATTATGTGCAGTCATATAGTCCACACAAAATCCAATTACATGTTGTCACACTCTGACAGGAGGCTGTTTGGTGAAGAGGCACCTAACTGCTCTCACAGGAAACCCTTTACAGTAGTAGGCCCTCATGTCAATTATGCCATAAACACTAAAACAACTAACGTTTTCGCCAATAACACTAAAGTACAAATCAGAGGGGGAAAAGAGCGAGCAAGACCAAAGAAAAAGAACCCACGCTTAACCAGGATATACAGACAAGAGGGGAAAACAAGAAAGAAACATTTCAACAGCAACATGCAATGTTTAGTGCATGGCTTATTTGATTATAACAGAGTTTAATGATGATATATTGATAGTATAAAATATCATTTGATTACGATCTACATAAATGATAAATTTGTTAATCTTTATTATAATTATTTTAAAAATTAAATAAATTATAATTTTTGATTACTTGATTGTGTAAAACTTTTTTATATACGCTGATAATGTATTACTAATAAACCTTTAATATATGGAATTTTTTATGCTGACAATGTATTACTAATAAACCTTTAATGTATGGAATTTAGTTAACTACCAAAATTAAAACAATTGCTTGTAGAAAAACAGATTTCATCAAAGAAGTATTACTTTTATATGTGATTTGCTAGATAGTAGATGTATGTTCATATATATATATATTAGAGACTTTTTTATTTATTATACTTTATGGTTTTCATGATATATATGCATCTTCTTCAATTTTTTTGTTACAGACTGACAAGGCTTCAATGTTGGATGAGGTGATAGAATATTTGAAGCAGTTGCAAGCACAAGTGCAGATGATGAATAGAATCAACATGTCATCGATGATGCTGCCATTGACCATGCAACAACAGCTTCAAATGTCGATGATGTCTCCAATGGGCATGGGATTAGGGATGGGAATGGGGATGGGGATGGGAATGGGCATGGACATGAACTCCATGAACCGTGCTAACATCCCTGGCATCCCTCCGGTTCTCCACCCTTCTGCCTTCATGCCCATGGCGGCCTCCTGGGATGCCGCTGCCGTTGCCGTCGGCGGCAGTGACAGACTTCAAGGAACTCCGGCCACCGTGATGCCTGACCCTTTGTCCACATTTTTTGGGTGCCAATCACAGGTCAGCAAATATTTAGCTAAGTGCTCACTAGGGTTTAATTATATTTATTAAAAATCCTCAAATGAAAAATACTAAATAAAAGATATATAATATTATAATATTATATATTATATCATTTTTTTCCTCTTAACAAGTACTTTTACTCGTTAGGAATTTGACATTAACTAATACTAAAGTCAAAATAATTTTTATTTTATAAGTAATTTTTAAAAGGAGAAGTAGAAGGGAACTTTTAAATAACTCTTCTTTTTTATTTTTGGTACATGATAGTGACTACACTATGAGTTTAAATCTGAATCTTTATATACAATAAAATATATAATTCTAGTATGTCTCAGTTACATTTGACTTCTGAATTTAGTGTCTCTTTTAATATATTTGTTACCTCAAACTTTTTTTATTACTTTGATTTTGGTTCCATGATAAAGTTGATTTTTTTTATATTTGTTAACTCATTTATTGTGGATAAGGTAAGAAGTTCAATAATGATTGATAGCAACCGGAGTTTTCCGGTACTGAATTTGTGAGGCACAAATGATAAGGTTTTAGAAATCAGTCAAATCGAATTCATTGCAGCATCAATATCGCGCACTGGTTTGTTAGAACCGTGAGAAATTAATTAATTAATATATTTATCTAGACCTCGTTACTCTCCCAAGTTATAATGGACCAAAGAAATTTCTCAAAATAACATCTCAATTTATGTTTTAAATTATCTACACCGTTGACTATAAAACAAGATAAGTCATTTACATTGATGGCTTTGTATAAATCAAGGAAAATATTCGGCTTCCAACCGTTTATGCCGAAATCCTTTCCGAATAAATAAAATAATAATTTAAATTTAAAATATTAAATTAAATAATTATTTTATAATAAAATTATTAAAAAATATTATTATTTTAACCATTTGGAACACGGTTCGGATAATTTTTTGGAAAGCGTAGCATAACTCATAAATCAAAGATTCGAAAGCTATATAGAATATACTTTTATTTAACTTTTCGAAATTTTTTGTTCCTCAACTCAGATGCATGGTTATAAATTCTTTGTTTAAAATGTTATTTTCTTTAGTTATGCTTTTTTTTTTATATATATAATTAAAATACAGAGAAAACAATGATGATTTCTTAAATCGATAGGATACATAAATAACAAAATATAATAATTATTTGCAGCCCATGAACATGGATGCCTACAGTAGACTTGCTGCAATGTATCAGCAGCTGCATCAACCTCCAGCTTCTGGTTCCAAGAACTGAGCTAGCTGATTCTTCTGCTGTGATAGTGTTGAGCTACAAACAAGATACTTATTCTTTGTGAGAATTATGTATATTAGCTCCAAAGCAAGCGATGAGAAACAATAGCTGAATATATGTACATGTCCTTTCTTATTTGGGGTTAGTAACTTGTTGAGATTAGGTGCTTTCTTGGCTATTTTACCTTCATATGTATGTTCATATAATTTGCGACTTGTATAACGCGTTTTGCTATTTAGTTGAATAAAGGGTTTAACCTGATTCAAGTCGATCTTATCAATTTTTCTTTTCCTCTAGCTTCACTTTTTTTTTTCCTACTAAAACACAGCTGTAGCAGTAACTACAAAATTAGCATCACCAATCAGTTTATTATATATATATATAAATGAACTATTTATTTTAGGAATAAGTCTACTTAAACTTATTTTATTCAATAACTTATATTTTGCATCAATTTTCAATGATAAAACTCTTAAATTTATAATTTTTAATGCATGGATTAAATTTACAAATTTTTAAAAAATTTTAAAACTATTTGATATTTCGTTTCATTAATTCAAATCAACGTATAAAATATTTTTATGATTATCCGTCAATTAGAATTAATAAAACAACCCAATGGTTTTCAAATTTTTAAAAATTTGTAGACTTAATGTATGTATTAAAAACTTTAATTTCAGCAGTTGGGTCGTTGAAATTTGATATAAAATATTAGTTATTACATAGAATAAATTTAGATAGACTTACTCATATATATATATAGAGAGAGGATGGATCCGTTTACTCTAAAAGTAAATTTACCTAGACTTATTTCGTTCAATAACTCATGTTTTACATTAAATTTCAATGATCCAATCGTTAAATTTAAAACTCTTAATGCCTAGATCAAGTTTACAAATTTTTAAAAAATAAAAATTATTTGATACTTCATTTTATTAATTCAATTTGACGGACAATCATAAAATCATTTTATACATTGAATTGAATTAATGAAATGAAGTATCGAATGATTTTCAATTTTTTTTTTTTTAATTTGTAGATTTTATCTATGCATTAAGAACTTTAATTCAACGGTTGGATCATTAAAATTTGATGTAGAATATGAGTTATTGAACGACTCTTTGTCGTAACTCGGAAAATTTTGATCTTACGACTAATGGTTTGGACTACCTTTTTTTGAAAAATCTCATTAATTAGGGAATACCCGAAAACCATATTAATCCTTAATTAATAGTTTTGAAGAATGATTCATGAAGTCGCCACCAATGTTTTACTCAAAACATTAGAAAAAGAAAAGATTTTCAAAAGTCCAATAACAGCCTTAACAACCAAAATTAGGTTCGGGGGTCGGTTATGTGTAGGGGAGGTATTAAGTACCCTTATAGCGCATTAGATTGGTACCCTATGATGAAGTTAACGTGATAAGAATTAATGAATTAAATATTAGGTCCCTGTCATTAATAGTTAGTTATTTACATGTAGATAATGATTATTTATTTAGAACAATATTTGTTAAAGTAAGGGAGATAAAGGAGAAAGAAGAATATTAATTGAAATACCTCTTAATTGAGCTGTATTAGATCTTCAAACTTGGGGATCTTTAGGCGCTTTTTGGCTGCCTCACGAAATCTCAAGAAATACAAGGAGGAGAGAGAGAAATTTTGAATTTATATCAGACCCTCTGGATGAATTTTTTTGGCCCCTAGAGTAGTGCCCGAGTTTACTATTTATAGACGTCAGAACTGACCGAAACGGCCTGTTCCGGGTCATTTTGTTATGTATTAAGTTTGAATCTGCAACGGTTCATTTTGATTCCAGAACAGTCCATTCTGATTCTAGAACAGTCCGTTCTGATTCCAGAATGGCTCGTTCCAAATTTGAACCTGGCTCATAACAACGTATGTTGGAACGACCCATTCTGGCCCGTTCTCAACTAGGGTTTCAAGACTTTTTAGCAGTTTGGAATAGCTCGTTCCAGATTAGGAATGACCCGTTCCAGCTTTAGAACAATCCATTCTAGTTTTGAAACGGCCCGTTCCAGGCTACTAAATCAAACCTGTTGGGCTTTAGGCCTTCTAACGTCACATTATGTTGTTTCCATGCTTCGAGAGCTCTTTTCCTTCATAATAGAAGTTCATTTCTTTATGTGGAAGAACATATGCACAGAATTTTGATGATGCCAAAACATTGTAGAAAATAAAAGGTCAAGTTAAAGCAAATTGATCAAGAAACAAGATCTCAAGAATTAACTAGATAAGTCTTGTCAAATTAGCTTAATATGTAAAAGGAACTTTTAGAAACTGCAAATTTTACTTGGCCATTAAAATAAGGATTTCAAGAAATACTTAAATTTAGTCTTTTTAAATATAAGAATAAGTTTTTTGAAAAAGAAAGTGAAAAGTAAAGTGTTCGAAAAGACTATACAAAAATATTTTTGACTGGTAAGAAAAGGCTTCTAAATTCATAAGTTTTCAAAAAGCAAAACTAGTAATATCTGTCTGGTAATCGATTACCAATTTAAGTAATCGATTACCAGAAGAAGAAAACTCTTGGTTCAAAATTCAAATGCTAAAAACGTGTTTTGGTAATTGACTACCAGACTTTGTAACCGATTACCAGAAGAGGGAACTTCAAAATTTGAATTTAAAAGATACAACGTTTCAAATTATTTTTGAACTTAAAACCGTTGTAATCGATTACCAATTCCTTGTAATCGATTACCAAAGTATCTTTTCTGAAATATTGTAAAGAGTTACAACTCTTCATAAAAGGACACAACCTAAGAAATAATTGTTTATAAATACCTATAATTTTTTAGAAGAAGGTTACGAACTCTATTGTGAAAAACATATTTACAAAAACTTCTTGGCCAAGTTCATTTGCATTATTATCTAAAGAGTTCATTAAGATCATCAAAGTGTAAAATTTACTCTTAAAAAGAGAGTTACTCTGTTATACCCACTTGATCATTTGATCTGTAAAGGAGAAAGAGTTTTCTCCTTGTTGGTTTTTGAATCTCAACACAAGGAAAGGGTGTTCCAAGGTGTTGGAGGATTCAAATCTTGTAAGAATTACAAGAATAGTGGAAATCTCAAGTTGGAGACTTGAGGACTGGACGTAGGCAAGATTGGCCGAACTAGTATAAAACAAGTTTGCAATTATTCTTTCCCTGTTACTTGTTATTTAATTGTGTTTGAGTAGTTTTGCATCAGTAATCTTTATATACAATTTTTCAAAGAAGTATAATCTATAAGAAAGCTTTACTAAAAATTGGATAACTTAATTCACCCCCCTCTTAAGTTATACAAGGCTACTTGACTAACACTTTATTTTCGAGTTCGGACGAAATTGGGTGTCTACAATTGCCCCTCTTCACTTGTCTTTTTGGATAGCTAGGTGTTTGCTTTTCCAAAGGCAAGTAAAGACGTAGACATTTCATTCGGGTCTTCCCTCTTGCTTTGACAGTAGATGCCTCCACGTTGTTTCTTCAAATAGATGGTGTTTACCCGTACCTTTGCCCCCTAGAGCAACTGAGTGTTGGTGAATGCTCCATCAGGTGTAAAGAGTGGTAAAATGTGCCATCTAGGTCTCTGTCTTAGTATAAATGCTTCTTGCTACCTCCGCTTGTCCCATGATAGTGTGATCTTTATTCGTGGCTCAATGATGAGGGAGTACGTTCTGAGCTCAGTCTCTCTAGGGTGGACTGATATTTGAGACTTCAGTCGACCCAATGGTTTACTTGGGGGTCTAGCAACCCTTACTACTCTTGTAGTATGTTCTGAGCTCAACCTCTCCAAGTTGGACGGATATTTGAGCCTTCAGTCGGCCTAATGCTAGTTTTGGGGTCTAGTAACCCTTACTGCTCTTGTACTAGTTTTGAGGTGGTCCAACAACCTTTACTGTTCTTGTAGTACGTTCTGAGCTCAACCTATCTAGGTTGGACTAATATTTGAGGCTTCAGGCGGCCCAATACTAGTTTTGGGAATCTAGCAACTCTTATTGCTCTTATAGTATGTCCTGAGCCCAAGATCTCCAAGCTGGACTGATATTTGAGGCTTCAGCCGGCCCAATGCTAGTTTTAGGGGTCTAGCAACCCTTACTACTCTTGTAGTATGTTTTGAGCTCAGGCTCTCCAGGGTGGACTGATATTTGAGGCTCCAGCTGATGGAATCATGCTAAGGAAGGCAAGGGGTGACAACCTAAAAGATCCAAGAGGAGTTGGCTAGACATGAAGGTTTGGGCCAATCAAGGCCCAATGGGCCCGATGGGCCTGGAAGGCCCAATTTGAGCTTCACATGGGCCATCTCTTGATAAATCCATTTTTCCTATATTTTGTACATATTATATTAGTATAGGTTTCACATATTTTGGTCTTGTATTTTGGACCACATAGAGTAGCATTTTTGGGCCATAGGCTTATTTGGCCTAGTTTTGGGCTTCTGGGCCTTTGGGCTTTTGGTACCCAATATTGGGCTCATTTTGTTTCTTTTATTATTTCCTAATGTTTGTATATGTTTGGCCATTGTATTTAGGCCATTAGCATAGGAATATTGAAGGAATACTAAAATAGACCAAATCTAGGTTTCATTTAGTAGTCATTTGATATGCATTTGGATCACATGTTTCTTGCCAAGCATGGCTGAACATGTGCAGCTCCAAATACACTTCAAATGTCCCCTAAATGACATTTAGATGCATCGTAGCCCCATATTCACGGTCTAAGCACATGGAGCCTTGAATTTGAATTTAAATTTCCATTTGAAATTTGAATTTTTGGCTCCAAAATTGGCTAGTGAATTTGGCGCCACCTAGCTTGCTTCTAGGACCTATAAGTGCTTGTTCCTTCACTCTTTGTAAACACTTTTGATATATTGAATTTTCTGAACCATTATTCAGCTAAATTCTTCAAGAGTCACCTTGAGAGAGAGTGCCTTCAAAACCCTAGAAACTCACCTAGTTTCCTACCTTTTGAAGTGAGCAATCTCTTGTTGCTTAAGCTTGGATGCTTCCATCCATAGTTTAGGCTATTTCCATCCGTGAACATCATCCATTCAAGTGTCATTTCATTCGGTTCCAAGCTCCATTGAAGAGGTCCAAGCTTTGGTGAATCCGAGGAGAAGAACACCTACCACTTCTCCTAGTTTTTGCCATCAATTTTGGTATCAAGAGCAAGGTTCTTCTTGGAGATAAGTTTCCTTAATTTTTTTGGTCCGTTTGTATTGTTGTCTTTGTGTTCTTGTGTGTCTTGTTTGAGTTTCATTTCGGATCT